TTCCTTCATGTATTTAGGTACGAATACCTGGGACCGATTTGAACTTAGAGTACACAAGCGAGTGATTGATCTTTTTAGTTCCCCAGAGGTTGTGAAGCAGATAACTTCCATCACCATAGAACCTGGTGTTGAGGTTGAAGTTACCATAGCCGATTCTTAAGCCTTCCTTGATTAATGCAATTTATGCTTCTTTTACTTTGAATTCAAGCATTTGTTTTGATATAGGATATCTGGGCAGGTTTTCGGCGAATGAGTTCTTTTTTCTATAACAATTTTGAATGTTGAAAACTATTTCAGGAAAGAAGTTATTGGAAAGTGTTTCCTTCTTTCTTTTCTTTTCTTTTCTTAATCACGGGTCCTTATAATGCCTAAATTTTGCTATGTGGAACATCAATTTGGTGATTTAGCATAATTTTCTCCTTTGACGGCAAGTAGCAAAGCTAGAGCATTCGAGTCTTCAAGTGTTCTACAAGAGGAGTTCAACAGCAATATAATAAATCGACAACAACTATTTGTATTTCCATCGAGCGAGAAAATCACATTCCATTCCTGTAAATTACAAAACCTCGCTACCCCAAATAAAAGCATTAGAATCCAAGTAACAACCAATAGAGATCACTATAGCAAGTTAAAAAAAAAAAAACGAGTCTGCTATACTCTCTTCGACAATAGTAACTGATTCAAAAGCTAATGAATAAACAGTATGAACAATCCAGAGTAGAAGAAAGAAACTTGGTCACAAATATATTTTCATTCCGAAGAGAATTCACAATACAAGACAAAGCCAACTCAAAAACAAGTTATAGTGTAACTGTGTAAGCAAAGGTATAATCTATATATCCACCACTTGTGATCAGATAAAATTGTCTTACCATTGCATGCCTAGTTTTAGTTTTCCTTATTATAATTTTCATTCTGCAAGTACTTTAAAACTCCATAGGCAACTGTGCCAGCAACAAACAAGATGACAGTTGGAGTGAAAGATGGGTATAGGTACTTGACAAAGAAATTGTCCCATGCCTCTGGAAGAAAACCTACAAGCAGGATAGTGAAGTTCGTAACTGGTTAGTGAAAGAAAAAATGGATTTATATCCTTTATTATGTTCGATATATAACAGCTACAAAATCATTTTTCATACGAATCGTTTGTAAGAAAAATTGGGAAAAACACAGAAATTAATCATAACAAGTTAAACTAACACAATGCAGGACCTGAATAGTTTAAGCTCTTAAAAATGATTTATATCCAAGTTATTCCTTTTGCAGCTCCAATGGTCTTGTTTCTCTTAGAGCTGTTAAACAAGTAAATACTAAATACACAAAAAAACCCACCACTATTAAATGTTTCAGACAAGTGTTTGAATTTGCTATTCCTTTTATTTTATCAACTATGTTCAATGTTCAATAGACTCCCTCTGATTAATCAAGTTGAAAACAAAAAGTGTAATTAAGCCTAAAAGATGGTCTAGCGAGGCAATTCTTCAGTCTCTCAACGCTACAATAATCTAATCAGACCTTCATTACTGATAATAAGCTTCCAACTCAGACACAGTAACCTACCGGAAATTCCAGTATCAAATTATCCATAAACGAATAATAATTTAAGGCAAACCTGAAGCAGCAAGAGCAATGCCCTCAAGAAGAATAACCCCGCCGAGCCCCAACCAAGCGAGCAGAAAAGAGTTCTCACTCTTTCTCAGATCCTCCGCTCGAGCCGCCGGCTGGGGCGTGGAGAAATTGGGTTTCTCGACCGGCTCACGCCGGATGATAGAGTCTCGCTCCCTCTTCCCCTTGGGCTGCTTTTTATTGGACTGAGCTGCCGCCGGCGAGCCGAATCCCAAGCCTGGTGGTGAACCCCCGGGCTTCTTCGCGAAAGGGCCCGAGCCCGAGCCCGAAGTGAGTTCTTTTGTGGATGGATCTTGCTGGGCTCTGGTGATGAATTTGGTGGGTTTCGGGTGGAGGAGGAGATGGGGTTTAACGGCGGCGATTGGTAGGGAAGACGAGGATGGGTGCAGATTTAGCGCCATTTCCCCCCGTTTATTTGGTTTTAGATATTTTTTTGATGGTTTATTTATCCATTTTTTTTTATTAGATGGTTTTGATGATAATTCTATAAGGGCATTACTATTTACCGCTCCCCTTATTACTATGTACCGCCTCCTTTGGACATTTTTGCCCCTGCCATTTTTTTTCAAAAAGTAAAAAAAAAAAAAAAATTGTCCGGCCGCCGAAACCGGACGGCCCAAATGGCGTCCGGCCCCGACGGCCGATTTTGAAAAACAATATAAACTCAATAGGAAGTTTTATATCCAAAGACTTGATTATGATTTTGCAGATGGTGTTATGAAAGAAACATCAGCTCACTCGTGATATTGAAAGGCATTAGGAGGACTAACTTGTATTACTATATAGGTTGTATGGCAATTGGGACAACAACAATAGCAGATTCCATCAACAAGGAGTTAGAAGCGACCAAGTTATGGCATATGTGGTTAAGACATGCTAGTGAAAAATTCTTGCAGACTTTGCAAAGAAAAAGGCTATTAAAAAATGTCAATGTGTGCAAACTACTCGTGTGAACATTGTGTTTCGGGAAAGCAGAAAAGGTAATGTTTAGAACAACCATCCATAATACCAAAAGCGTATTGGATTATGTTCATTCAATGTTTGTGAAACTTTTAAGCGTTGGTTTGTATACTAAATTTTTTGCTTTGGTTTGAACCAATAATCATTTTGAGTGAGAATTGAAATTAGTCAAAAGTTTTCGCATTTACATTTCGTGTAAGGCAATGCAACTTGTTCAATTATTTTATATTATATATTATATGGTATATGTCATTACATGGAAAATCGTATTATTAGTTCCTTCTAAAATATAAATAAGGTTCACAATTGAGATCTTGAAATGTTTGTAGCATAATTTGTAAATAGTTTTTGTCTTAACTACCGAATTATGCTAGTGCACTTTGTATGTATTGAACTAGACATTAGAGGATAATTTCAGTTTTACTGACAATATAAATAAAGTAGACATCAAGTATAGATTGTACTATTTTTTTTTATTTTATTTCTTTTTTTTTCGGAACGATAGGAATCACTTATATTCGCAATACCAACGAGACTAGAGAACAACTATCTAGCCGAATTTAAATCGAGACCCACTAATTATACAAAAAAATTTGACCAAAGCTTTTTCTATGAAAAACATCGATACACGCACATTAGATCATAATATCCGTTCATATTATTTAGTTGGAGTTACGGTAATTTTATTATGTTAATTTCATACGAAACATTGAAATAAAAATTGAAACACACGCCTAAAAACCAGTATATTGGCTTGCGCTCTACAGCAAAAAGTTGTGTATTGATTATTTTTTCAACAAATTTTCTAACAAAAAACAGTCATCAAATAACCTAAATAAATTTACTCACTTTATACCATATATTGATTAATTTATTCCCAGAGAAACAACAATCATATCAAAAATAAATTCGTCTACTATTTACTATATATTAATTAATTCACATGATTTGAGTATTTAAGATATCTTAAAATATGACTTAATTACTACCTTCAATAATGAGTCGCATTTTACATAAGTGATTATTTGATATATACCATAAATTGGTCATACTTACTTAAATAATGAGCCACAACTTCTGTAAGTGATTATTTAATATATACCATAAATAGTTAAATTAATATCCCGAAATAGTAAATAGATTTTTTTTTATGGATATAGATTTATAGTTACTATTTAAAAAATAACCAAACTTATATATATATATATATATATATATAGATTCTTATATCCAATGCCAAAGTAGTAACTAAACATTTCCCTATTGCTCTACATTCTAGAACAAGCACTCAAAGATACTTTGAAAGAAAAACACTATGTAGACAAAGAAAAACACTAGAAGACAAAGAAAATGATTCCCAACATCAAGATAAGAACTACACCAGCTTAAAGGGGTTAAAGAATCATATTTACTATGAAAAAACCACAACTAAATTCCAGCAGTATAACCAAAAAATAAAAAAAAAAGGAAAAAATGGTGACAACATGTCCAACATCCCACATACTCCAACAACTCACTGCAAACTCTCAAATCACCACAGGGGTTCTCCTACACAAAACATAACACTAGGGAAAAAGAAAACCAACAAGAACCGAGCTATTAGATGATACAATTTCGACGTTTTGTGAAATTGGCACGAAAAATCATCACACCGGATTCCATTCCCTCATCCGACCATTATGAAATCTTCATTCGACCGGCTGCTAGTCATAGACCACAAGTCGAAGGGCACAACGTTTCGATTTTGAGGCTCTTATTTTATTCACAGAACCGAAACCATATCAGACAAGACAAGATGATCATCTATCTAAAGGTGGGCATAAGAGACTCCATCAAATCTTCCAATCTCGACTCCACCGATGGTTCTTCATACGGCTCAAACCCACCGATTTCCTCCAAAATCCTCACAACTCGAGACATCCGAGGCCTGTGTTCGGGTGTAAAATCAACACAAGCCATTGCCATTTGCAACACTTTAACCATTGTCTCCTCCTCTTTCTCCCCCATAAGCATAAGCACCGGATCAAACAAGTCCGTTCTCCGTTCCTTACGGATAATCAACCGAGCCCAGTCGACAAGGGACATGGCCTGGCCACTTTCCGTGGCAAATTGAGATGGTTTTTTACAGAGGCATTCAAGCACCACAACTCCAAAGTTGTACACGTCAGATGACTGGGAAACTGTCCTTGTCTCTGTGAGCTTCCACAGCCCTACATCTGAGACGAGGCCGTATTTTTGTGTGTTGAGGAAAATGTTTGAGGATTTCACATTTCCATGCACGAGCATACCCCCATCTTGCCTGTGTATGTACTCGAGACCCCTTGCAGCACCAAGTACGATTTTGAGTCTTGTTTCCAAGTCTAACGTTGTCCTGTCATTGCCTGTATTCAGAAATATTTTTAGAAAAAGTGAAAATTACGGACTTTGTCCATTGCCAATGGAGCTGGAAGAGTCATTGTTGACAACTCTCCTGGCATAGTGCTAATGTGGACTAGATCAAAATGGCTCAATTAAATTCTAGTGCTTCTTCTATTAGTGAAGTTTCTAGAAAAAAAAAATATATCAAACGGCGCAATGCACCTTGGGTCGCTACAGAAACAGCCTCCTTGTATAATTACAAGGGTAAGGTCTGCGTACAACTGACCCCCCAAACCCCAACCTGTTGGGAATATACTGGGTATGTTGTTGTTGTAGTGAAAATTACGGACATGATTCATTAATATCGGTTTTGTTCAGGCATACCGTGTAGCAGAGCGGATAAACTCTCCTTTTTGTAGTAATCATACACCAACAGCTTCTCGCCTTTCGTGTAGAAGTACGCCTTCAGTTTTCCGACATTATTGTGCCTCATTCTTCGAATTATCTCCAAATGTTCTTCGAATACCTCGAACGAGACCATCACATCCCTCAACCGCTTAACCACAACCGCCTCTCCATTGTTTAAAAGTGTTTTGTAACAAATCCCGAAAATTCCTCTCCCGAGCATCTCAGCAGGAGCACTTAATATATCCTCGAGGTCAAATGTGGCATTTCTATCCTCAATAAATACAAGTTTTTCGGTCAAATGGGCACGGCTTGCCAGTTCCACCACATTAATTTTCTCTAACATCTTCACCACCTGGGACATCTTAGGTCTCATTTTTATCGATTTCTCTACACATTTTATTCCTATTTGAAGCACTTTAACCATCTGTTCTTCTAACGCACGATGCTTCAATAGGCCAGGATCGAAAACTTTGGAAGCCCTCTCCCGATTCTTGACCGACTTAACCAGCTTGACTAGGTCAACAGCAGTAGGACCATATCGGACGTGAACACTGGCCTTTCTCGTGAGAAGTTCGAGCAGCAGAACCCCGAAGCTGTACACGTCCGATGCTTGGGACACGTTTTTAGTACTATTCTTGATTTCCGGGGCATAGCAACGTGCTTTCGGCATGAATTTCGTATCTATCATCTCGGTTACACCAAGATCCGATACAAAGCCGTACCCTTGTGAATTGAGGAATATATTGGACGCCGTAATATTACCGTGTACGAGCTTCCCGCCATTTTTCCGGTGTATTTCCGCGACACCCCTCGCCGTGCCTACTGCAATTTTCATTCGGGTCTCCCAGCTTACGAAAGATTGAGCTTGACCTGTTTCTCCTGGGAATACGCCAAGACAAGAAAATTCGTAGTTGTTGAAGTAAGAAAGCACATTCATATAGCCGTGAGTAGCAACATCAAAGCATGAGACAAAAATTAATTAGTTCGACGTAAATTAGAAAGATAGGGAAACTATTAAACTTATAAGTCGAATCAGATCGACTCGCCTTCAATCACCACATTAAAGGCTGCAAAGTAACAATTAAACTAAGTCAAATCAGGCATATCATGTACAACATAACTAATCGAGCTTGCCCCTAAGGATGAGGTGAACTCCTAAGATTTCCCTTAAATGAACAGAGAAATGCATATCGACTGAAGCAAAATGACCCGGCACAATAACCTTTTGCCCAGAAAAGAATAGTAAGGCCTTAGTGGGCCAACGTTCTCATGCCTCACATTTCCAATAACATCCATGTAACAATTAAACTAAGTCAAATCAGGCATCTGTACACCATAACTAATCAAGCTTGTACTCAAGGATGAGACGAACTCCTAATATTGCCCATAATTGCAAATAGAAAATGCATATCGACTGAAGCAAAATGACCCAAAAGGCCAGATGTACCGTTTTTCAATGCTAAAACGCTTGAAGTATCAAAGTCCCACTTATCATGAAGCAATTGATACACACTCCCTGTACTATAATAATCATACAGCAAGAACCTTTCGCCCTGGAAAGAATAGTATGCCCTTAGTGGGGCAACGTTTTCATGCCTCACATTTCCAATAACATCCATGTGGCGTTCGAATTCATCATCGGAAAAACTGGTTGACCTGAGCCTCTTCAACACTATCGTCGGCCCACGGTCCATTTGAACCGCATACGCAGCCCCAAAGCTTCCCCTGCCAAGAAACCGAGTAGAGGCCGGGTTTGGACCTTCGGCATCGACAGCTGGAATAAAGTCCGAAAAAAGAACGAGCTTCGGGGAGACTTGACATGGCCTTGATGAGCTTTGGGATCTCGAAAAATCCAACGCCTGATCGGGACTCGAATCGAAGCTGGAACTGAAATCGGAAGTCTCCGAGAGTACGCTCGGGCTCCTCGAGCTATCGTGAAAAAGCTGCAAAAGCTGCTGTTTCTTGGTAACAGCTGCAACCAATCTTTCCCAGTTGTCATATATTGCAGACATCTTTTCCTGGGTAGGATCGAATTTTCCCTTTTCCTGAAGCTTTCAAACACTGAGAATGCAAATTTAGCATTTGGCTAGTACTTAGTTTAACATGTACGTTGACGTTGGCTTGGTCAGTATTGTGGATTTCAGCTCGACCAGTGAAGAATCGGGCAAGAATGAAATTAGGGTTTCAGACGAAAAGGACACGAAGGAAGATCGAAGAAATGAAAATGAAATTGGAAGAAAATGCAGCGAAAATGCAAAATGGGGAAGGCGGGACCGCGTGGCGAGTCCAAGGAGACAATGGAAGATTATTATTATTATTATTACTTTTAAAAACATCAAATATTACCAAAAAACTCAAACATACAAAATTAACGGATTACACGTTATAATTTAGCCATGTTTAGCAGCACCGCGGGTAGAGAATTGCAGTCTACTGAATATATAGATTAAGTTAATCAATTATTGTTATTATTATTATTAGTACAGTAGTCACCCGTGCGATGCACGGGGATATTATTATCTAGAATGTTTTTAAAAAACAATTTTGTATATAGATTGTGTTATGCAGACAATGATCATGATCATAATAATAGACATATAAACATATTATTAAATTGAAAAAATCATATATTATTGAACACTTCCCTATATACAACATTATTGGTTTGATTCTTTGGTACGTCATCTTCGCAAAAATTAAGATTTTCAAACCTTTTCAGGGAAACAACAACATATAACTGGCCATGACTAAACACTGGTTTCTTAAGAAATAAGCCAACATGAGATAAGAATCGTCCCTGGCTTTTGTTTATAGTCATGACGTAAGAAACCATAATGGAAAACTGTCGCCGCTGGAACTTGAAAGGAATTCTAACATCAGAAGGAGTTATGGTCATTCTTGGAATCAACACCTTATCACCAGCATGATCTCCTGTGAGTATCTTACACTCAAGAACGTAAGTCGATAGCTTTGTCACTACCAATCGTGTCCCATTACACAAACCCATAGAATGATCCATGTTCCACAACAACATGACTGGAGTTCCAATCTTCAAATACAACTCATGGTTCGGTATTCCGGAACACTTAATACTATTCAAAAACTCAGGCGTATGGAGATCAGACAAAAAATCATTATTAGAATCCTATTTGCACGTACTGTCAGAGCTCAAGTACATACGACCATCCAACAAATTCAATGATGTCATGTACTGATTGATAAACTCGACCACATCCAACGTCGGCGCTAATGCCCTATCCTTCAAATAACTTGGATTGTTGGGTGCCTCTTTATACATTGGATATGTGCTTTCAACTATCTGAGCAATAGGATCATCAGATGACTGAAGCAAAATGTCTTCGGGTATGTCTATAGGTGCACATCCATCATTCAACCCTCCGATAGTTCCATCTCCGATGTTGGCTATCCAATCTGCAAACCGTGCAAGCTCATCACGTTCATCCGAATTAGCAAGTCCTTGAAGGCGCATTTTTTCGTAAGCCTAAGCACAATACAACTCCTCCATATGTCAGAAGAATTAATGGCAGCATTGACTATGTCCTGACGGCTACCCTTTAGAATGACAGGAAGGATTTGTCGAAAATCTCCACAAAAAACAACCGGTTTTCCACCAAACGGTTTGTTCAAGTTCAAAGGATCAATTGCTCCCATAATACCCTGCAGATCGGTCTGTACAGCTTCGAAACAATGCTTGTGCATCATTGGTGCTTCATCCCATATTATTAGAGAAGCACGAATTATCAATGGTGGATACATTCTGATATTACTCTCGACTTGATAGTTTCGAAATGCATAGACAGCACCTTCTTCGAATTCATTGATGAAAGTTGGGATGTTGATTGCTTTACTATTCCAGTAATTCGACCTCCCCGAAAAAAAAAAAANTTCCAGTAATTCGACCTCCCTAAAAAAAAAAGAAAAATAATATTAGATATTAAATATTAAAATTAACTTGATAAGAAAAGTGGATAATCATTATTTTTTATTATGAATTAAACCTCAATGTCATGAAAGACAATTTCAAGGATGTTCTTGTAAGATGAGTATTGATTAGTCCTTTGAAAAACTTGAACCACCCTCAACTTGAGCATTAGCCTGTTGATCCTTGTTACTTGCTTAATGTTTCTCCATGCTCTCGCCATTTTTCTGTTTGTATGTGAAATTGTAGTGTGAGATTTTTGTGATACGTGATATAGGCTCCGACGTTTATTTTACAGCCATGGAATGAAAGTAGATAACATTAGATGATAAGATTAGTTAGACTCACGTTAATCTCTCTTGATAAGATTCATTGCACGTGATTTTAATTTCAGAGTTCCAATAAATTCAAACTCTAATATCATGATAAGATTAGTAAAACGTGATTTATCAGATTGTTAACTCTAGATTTATCCACCGTAGGACTCTGCATTTGTTATGTTTTTTAAATGAATGACATTGAATTCAAATGGAATATATTTCGGTCAATCCAAACACAAATGATTATCACGTTAGTATGGACCGAAATTTTTATGATGATAAGATAAGTGGAAAGTAGTTAAGAAGTGGAGATTTTTGTGTGATAGCATCATTACATAATTACCATCACCATCAATCTTTCCATTAAATTTCGGTCCATACCAACATGATAAAAAAAAATTCTTGAAAATTTTTTTACGTCAAACAAATAATATAATTACGTCAAAAATTTTGTACGTCAAAATTTTAATTCAAACAAATCTTTCCATCTTTTTACGTCAAGATTTTAATAATAATAATTTATATATAACACAAATTAAAATAAATATTATAATCAAATTCATATTTATGAATATAATTCATTATGATAAATTATTGAAAAATCACGCAATATAATCCATTAAATGTACTTGATTTAGTTATTGTTAATTCCGTAATTTTTTTTGTTCAAATAAAAAATACACCAATTTTGAATTCAAATGGAATTCAAAGAGTGATACTCGATCAATAAAAACCTAAAACAATTTTGAAATCAAATTGTAATTTTCAACCTTATTATGTATGATGATAAGATAAGTGCAAAGTAGTTAAGAAGTGGAGATTTTTGTGTGATAGCATCGTTACATAATTAACATCTTTCCATTAAATTTCGGTCCATACCAATGTGATACAAAAAAAAATTGTTGAAAAATTTTTTACGTCAAAATTTTACGTCAAACAAATATTATAATATTTTACGTCAAACAAATCTTTCCATCTTTTTACGTAAAAATTTTAATAATAATAATTTATATATAACACAAATTAATATAAATATTATAATCAAAATTAATATTCATATTTATGAATATAATTCATTATGATAAATGTACTTAATTCAGTTATTGTTAATTCTGTAATTTTTTTTTAATATAATCTTATATTCGAAATATTTTGTTAAAATTTGTATTAATTTATATCTTGTATCATGGAACTCTACCAATTTTAAACTAATATACAGTAGAACTCAAAAATAAAATGTTCAAATTTTCACATTCATGCGACATTTAATAAAAAAAAAATATCCAATGACATTTTATAACGATAACAAATATAATAACACTAAAATTTATTATAGAATTTGGAATTCAACGACATGGAATGAAATTAAAATTCATAATAATCAAACTCTAAATATCATAAATATCTCCTGCTCCTTGCTAATGTTGAGGAAAAATATCAACATTTTGAGGGAAAATCCCACCATATTTGATAACATGAGTTCTTCCATAAATTTATAAATATGAATTAAAATATTTTTTAAAATTACATAAATTTGATATTACAAATATAAATATTTACATGTTCATCATGAAACAGTATATGGAATGCGTTCCACCTCTCCCGTTGGTGATGCGTTTCAACTATTAGGATTGCTTTCAAGTGCAAAAAAAAAGCTTATTTCTCCTACTCACGGAATCGAGTGTATCCCAGACTGGCGGCATTTATTTTCAATATGTTCTGAAATTTATCTTTTTTTTTTTTCTCTGTAAAATTTATCTCGGTTTTTTTTTTTTTTTTTTTTTTCTGTGAACTGTGAATGACGTGAACTTTTTTTTTCTAAACTGTAAATGACGTGAATTGTTGAGTAGTTGTAGTGCATATGATTTTATACCAAACAACCGTTTTTGAACTAAAGATTCGCATAATTATGTAATAATAATTATGGATCCAATTGTGACTTATCCACATATCCCTATAATATCTCTAATCAATTAATTTTTGTATTAATCATGTAATGATAATTATGGATCCAATTGTGACTTATCCACAATCCCAATAATATATCTAATAATAATTATGGATCCAATTGTGACTTATCCACATATCCCTATAATATCTCTAATCAATTAATTTTGGAATTAATCATGTAATGATAATTATGGATCCAATTGTGACTTATCCACAATCCCAATAATATCTCTAATAAACAAATCTTTGAATTGAAGTATGACTTTTTTAAAATTTCGTGTATTGTAAATGCAGTAAATATGGTTTCTATATTTAGATTGTCAAAAAAAAATTTTTTGTCAAAAGTTTCTAAAAAAGTATTTTAACAACAACCTTTTTATATATATATAGATTTCTATTATTATTGAGAAAAAAAGGGCATGTGGAACGACAACTTCGTACAATATCTGAATTTTAGCTTTTCAATACAAATATATCGCATTAATAATTCATTCAGGCATTGGAGCCTCATAAGTCGGCAACTGTTTCAGTCGATGACTCCATTTTATTTTTATTTATTTTTATTTTTGGTGCCAAAACAACTTTTAGATTCAATGTCAATGATTCCTCCATTCTCATTATTTCATCTCTTTTTATGAGACATAGAAATTTCGTTTTCAACATGAAATTCTCAAACTTAACCAACATTTATTAAAACAATCACAAGCACATCTCAATAATACAAATCGTGCATTTGCGTCATACCCTCCTTGGCTGCGTTGGTATCCACTCCTCTCGTGGCTTGATGACAATATTATTTTTCTCCTCAATTAGATGTTCCCATTGATAGTCTCCCAGCCCTCCAAATCGTATAGTATGTTGCTTGCTCAATTAGTTTCCTTGCCCCATAAATGTATTGTGGCAGCCTCAGTTAATTAAGTGGTGTATAATTCAACTCTTAATTGGGCCTTAACTTTACAATTAAAACATTTAGGTCGAAAATGGGCTGTCATGGGGCACCCTCATACTGTGCCAGCTAAAATTTTGTTTAATGTCTCGCCGTCCATAAAAGTACTTTAATAGTATAAAAATAAACAATATA